GTTGCAAACCCCAAGTAATGTACCTCTGGTTGTATGAAAATCAATGTTTATCAACACTAATGTCGCACATGCGCAGCGAGATAACCATCGCCCTTTAAACTTAATTTAATTTGATTAATTTAATAAGTTAGGATATGTGGCGATGATATGTATATTTTCGGTTCGAAAAATAATTGTAGCATGTACTGTAAAATTACTAATTTTCACATGGTTTAAATTTTGCTGATTTACCATTTCAGGCATATTCAGTGGGTTTTAAATTCATGGTTTTATCATTTAGATAATTTATTTATTTATTAACACACAACATCCCCCGGAGGGGATGAAAAGGGTTACAAATCAGATATTAGTAAAAGAAAAATAACCACATAAAAAGTAAGGGAACAAAAAGGCATAAAAAAAAAAAAAAAAGATAATAATTTGAATACAAGGAATGTATTACTGGCTTAGTTTATGTAGGTGCTGCTGTCTTGTATTAAAACAGTTTTTTAAATATTGCGCTAAAGGAATAGACATTTTCTCGTCACTTAGTAATGATATGAATTTATTTTCATTACTAAACTTGTCCTAAATCCTTTTCGTCTTTTAGATAATGTGTTCTATGTTAAATTTTACATATTCACTGGGTTTTAATTTAGCGCAATTTCCAGTCAGCGAAATAAGCAAAATTAAAACCCAGTGAATAATTATTTCTTTTACAGTAATTTCACGGTCTCTCATAGACGTAAGTCCACGTTGTATATGCGATAGCGGGACACTAAATAAGATTTGTTGAAAGCCCATATTTTTTATCGCAACTGCTACGGCATTGATCACGTCTGTTTCTACACACTCTGTCTCACCATTGCGAGACGGAATTTTAGAAGCGTTTTACCTAATTTGAAAACCGTAATTTTATTTACAAAAGAAAACAACAGCTTACCCGTGCAACATGGATAATAGGGTTCTTGTCACCGTTGTCGTCGTTACCTTGTAGTTCACTGTAATAATTTTCATCGTCAAAATCCTTTTCGTCTTTCTCGTCTTCCATAGTTAACAACAGGTTCCGTCGTTCAGCACTTACTGCTATGTGCACCCATGGAGGTAGAAAAGAGAATGAGTGAGGACGCTATTTAAGCCTGTGTTAATCCTATGAACGTCCTTTGTCATCGCTAGTTATCGTTTTTATTTAGGATTCGTTTTATCCATATGAGCCATACTCTTAGCAAAATAATTTTAAAAATCTCGTTATTTTGTTTTTATTTTTTGCTAAAGTGTGGCACCAATACACTTCCGTAATATGATGATAGCCGCTTATTTATACAAGAAAAAGAGAGTAGAACTGAAAAAAATAAATTTCGTTTAAACATGTCAATAAAATTGAATGCGCAAACCATAAATAAAAGAATTGTGCATGCGCAATGACCTTTATCGGGTCACATAGGTCATTTCACACTTTTAGGTACCGGAAATTCCGCATACGAACGCTTCCAAGATGAGTGATTACTTATTTCCTGATATTTTTCATCGCAAAAGTAGTCAAAATTTAGGCATTGATAAAAAAATCCGCAAATTTCCGCAGTGAAATTTAAAAATACATGATAAGTTTATCTGGTTTATAACAAGATGTTTTGACGGGCAGTTTTCATCGGTGTGCAGATGTTGAAAATCGCGCCCTTTTTCAGTGGTTTTACACTCAGTCACACTGAGATTGTGACTCAGCGTACGTCTTTCACTGTATTATTGTTGTCTGTTTGGGCATGCGCAGTGCGTCGAGAACCCTCGCAAAGCTTCTGAATATAGCTGAAACACGTAAGCCGATTGTACAGCGTGTTTGCCAACTAATTAAAATGTGTACAGAGTTAACAATCCCAAAGCATCATGAAACCAGCAGAAACAATAGCGTCCTTACTCCTCTTTTCTACCTCCATGGTCCAACGCAAAGTGGCTACTAGTATGTGACTCCATGCACAACACACAAGAGCGCCGCCTGTGGTGACATTGGTATTAAAGGGTCAACATTTTAAACAGTACGTCGTCTGATGGCGTCCCACAACACACTTCCTCCACACCACATGCCGTGATTCAGGCCGCGACTAAATTATAACCCGATTGGATGCAAAACCGTGCGAGTGAACCCGGGGTGGATGCCCGGAGCGAATGTTACAGCATATCGGAGATATACTTTTATCCTAGCAAACAGCGTCGGCGAAAATCAAGAAAAATTATTTGGT